TATTCAGAGCGGTCAACTTTACAGCAATCATACGGACAAAGAACACATTAATTTGCTCAGGGCCACAGCAGCATTCTCATATTCAATGCAATAATTGAACTTTGACACCGTTCAATTTGATTAGAATGTGTAATCTGACTGAGGTTTCCAAAGTATGTGTCACAATTAGAGTAGCAAAGGTGTCACACAAATACACCACACCCTCATGCGAATGACAGGATTGCAATGAATCACTAAAACCCTCCCAAGAAAGCACAGGAACCTAGAAACTTACAAACAAATATGGGAACTGTCAATGTAAACAGTGTTTGCTGTTTTCAACAGACCCTGCTGTTAACTATCAGGAACTGCCAATTATTTAATGAGCCTGGTAATGAAGATCCATGATATTCACCTACAGGTAAGTTACATTTCTATATTAACAAAGACTCGTCTGTATAGAGAACTAAGTAGAAGATTTTGGAATCTGACAAGTTAAATAAGGAAAAGATTGCAACCTTTCACAACTTCAGGAAGTCTCAAAGTACAAAGCTGAAGAAGTCATTTTTGAAGTTTAGTCATTGGTGTGGTGTAGTGTAATAAAAGCTGCAGCCAATTTGAACACAGTAATTTTCTCATAAACAGTGGCATGATAATGACCAGGCAATATGTTCCTGTGATGCTCTTTGCGGGATAAACACTGGTCAGGATGATGAGGGTTAAAAAATTTGGGGGAAAGAGGAAGAGAAGAGAGAGCACGCGAGGATGTGTTTGAGGTGTAGCAAGTGGGAGGTAGTAACATGCCCCAAGTGTCTAATGTGCTGAAAGCTGCCACTGGATAAACTGCCCTTCCATGCGCTCCTTCCTATGAGGAAGGAGTTAAATTCCACTCAGCACATTTTCAACATAGCTCAACTTGTATTGATGGCTCAATAGCACTGGTAAAGTCATATTAAGGCAAACTTGTGCTACAAAGGGTGGCATCAGCAGGTACAACAACTTGCTTTTGTTGTGGGCACAGTTCAAGTTGAAAGACCTTTGGAAAGAAGGGAGATGCATTTAGAAGCACCCTTCACATCATTAAGACACTCAAAGGTACTTCATTGACAACTACCTTTGAAACACAGTCACATGTTAGTTTGGGAGGAAACAGAGTCAGAACGGCCTTGTTCACATGAAGCCACATAACTCCAACAAGCAAAATAATCAGCGGCATGGAATGAATTTAAGGTGGCAGACGTGAGAAAACAATAACAAATGGGTCAAATTTCACTATTGTTGGTTTATTAAATTATTAAATGACAATCACAGGTTTTTCCTCACTCCCTATATTTAGTTATTGGAGTTGCCTCCAACTTTGCCAAATAGTTCAGGACAGGTATTTGTAGACATACGCCTCAACCTCCCTCATTAGGCAAGTACAGCAGATCTTACGAGGCTGCAAGTGAGAGTTACCACTTGTGACAGGAAGTTCAATCATGCAGAAGGTAAAAAGCATGCACTAAACAGAGTATCATCTTTTAAATCTGAACCAACATTCCTTTGTCCTCACCACATTTTAGTGTCTTGTTAAGTAGGTAAACTGCATAGCCAGGCAATGTTGTCATACCTACTCCACCTGGGCTGGAGGGCAGTTTCCCCCTTGCCTGTTTGAAATAACCTAGAAACCAGTTTCATTTCAACAATGCTATTGCAAGGAATTTTCAACCTGAATTTCGGCATTGATAACACATCCAAACAGCTGATTAAACATGCTCACTACCATGGCTGCATAGTTGGGCTTATAAGCCATGCCTAATCATTGCACATCCCAGCTCCTTAGTTCTGTGGATTTTAGTATATGGGCATAACTGGCAAACAACTGTAATCGCCCAGCTCCAGAAGCCTTAAAAAAAAATCACATCACCCTGCCTTGGAAAGATGTCACTGCTCCTTCAGTGTGACTGGGTCAAAATCCTGGAACTCCCAGCATGATGGCATTATATAGGTCTACCTACAGCACATGAAATGTAGCAATTCAGGTAGAAGTAAATACACCATAGTCCCAGAGGACTAGAGGGATGTTCTGTCATTGGAAAGACATTACTGGTGGTGAGTTTAACCTGAGGGCCACCACAACTCAGATGAGGGATGAGGTTACGAAAGCGGGACATTCATGTTGACATCAGCCAGTACAGGAACTAAATCCACACCGTTCGGGTCACTCTGCACTGCGAACCAGCCAACTGAGCTAACTGAGCCACAGCAGTTCAAGAGGCGGCTCACCATCACCCCTCAAAGACAAGTAGGAGTAGACAATAAATGCTGGCTAGGCCAGTGACACCCAATCCTGTGAATTACTAAAACAAAGCCAGCAATGAGCCTTCTACAACAACCTCTACTGCTGACAGTGCTCTGCTAGTGCTGTTATGGGCCTAGGGCAATGTAATGACATGAATAATGAGGCAGACCTAAGCCAGCATGAAAGCTTTTTCCAAATTGCGTTCTATACTAAATACATATTCCTACTCCTTCTCCTCCTCTCTGAAACTTGCTGGATTAAAACAAGAACACTGTTCCATGTTCTTTTTAAACTTATTTCAGCCATTACTCGCTACTGCTACCTGGTTTTTCATGGCCCAATACCTGTCCCATTTCCACTTCAATTCACAGGCTTTAAAAATTCCAAACTGAATTGATTGGTCTTCTTTCTTAAACCGTGCACTTTAGTCCTCCAGTATAGAACTAAGTGTGTTAAAGAATCAACAGCACCTTCTACTGACAGGAAACTATATTGTGATTCCAGTGACTATAAAATAATTATTGGTGACTTCAAAAGGTCTACCAATGCAGAAATAAAACCTCAACACAACAAAGTCATTTGAAAGCTCAACACGTCTGGCAGCATCAGTTTTGAGGAAGGGTCACTTGACCTGAAACATTAACCTGGTTTCTCTTCACAGATACTGCCAAACCTGCTGAGCTTTTCCAGCAACTTCTGTTTTTGTTCCTGGTTTAAAGGATCTGCAGTTCTTTCGGTTTTTACCACTAAGTCAATATTTAATAAAATAATCACATTTACATAGAATATTTTTTACAGTTATAGAGGAATAGAGTCACACAGCACAGAAACAGGCCCTTCAGCCCAACTCATCCACTCAGACCAGTTTTCCCAAACTGAACTAGTCCCATTTGTCTGCGTTTGGCCCATGTCCCTCTCAACCTTTCCTACCTATGTACCTATTCAAAAGGTCTTTTAAATGTTGTAATTGTACTCATCTTCACCAGTTCCTCTGGCAGCTCATTCCATATATGAACCACCAGGTGTGAAAATGCTGTCCCCTCAGGTCCCCTTTAAAATCTTTCCGCTCTCACTTTAAATCTATGCCCTCTAGTTTTCAACTTCCCTACTCTGGGGAAGAGGCCTTGGCTATTCATCTCATCGATGCCTCTCGTGATTTTATAAACCATTATAAGGTTATCCCTCAGCTTCCCATGCTGAAGCGAAAAACATCCCAGCCTACCCAGCCTCTCCTTATAAAAAACCTTCCAGTCTTGGTAACATCCTTGTGAATCTTTTTTGCAATCTTTCCACTTTAATAACATCCTTCCTATAGAAGGGAAACCAGAATTGTATGCAATACTCCAAATGTGGCCTCACCAATGTCTCATACAGCTGTAACATGACATCCTAACTCTTGTACCCAATGCTCTGACTGATGAAGGCAAATGTGTCAAACACCTTCTTCAACACCCTGTCCACCTGTGGCGCCACTTTCAAGAAACTATGTATTTGCAACCCTAGGTCTCTCTGTTTAACATCATCCTCAGGGCCCTACCATTAACTGTGGTCAGTTGTACTCTAGCCTGTCTTACGAAAATGCAACAGCTCGCCTTTATCTGAATTAAGCTCCATCTGCCATTCCTCGGCCCACTGGCCCAGGTGATCATGATCTTTTGTTTTTAGATAACCTTCTTCACTGTCCACTATACCATCAAGTTTAGTGTCATCTACATTTTCATCCAAATAGTTTATATAAGTGATGAACAACAGTGGACCCAACACCGATCCTTGTAGCACAGCACTGGTCACATGCCTCCAGTCGGAACAATGCCCACCACCACAATTAAATTTACAACTTCTTGGTATTATGGTATAGAAGACAAAGGAAGCACGATGAATGGAAAATAAAAACATTAGCATGTTTCACTAAAGATGAGGATCTAGTGTCCAATCTATCCAGCACACAAACAACATAAAACACGACAAGACATAGGACACAAACTAAAGAACAGCAGATGCTGGAGATCAGGACCCATATCAGAAATTGCTGGAAAAACCCAGCAGGTCTGACAGCAACTGTGAGAGAAAACAGAGTTCACATTTTGGGTGAAGTAACTTTTCTTCATGACCTTAAGACAAAGGGTTAGGAGTAGGTCATTCAGCCCATTGGATCTAGTCTCCATTCAATACCTGATCTGAAAATCCTCAGCTCCACTTTCCTGCCCTTTCTCTATAAGCCTTGATTCCATTCCTGATTAAAAAGCTTCCAATCACTGCTTTGAATACACTTAATGATGCAGCCTCTTGATCCCTGTGGTAAAGAATTCCACAGATTCACTATCCTTAGGAAAAATTCCTTGCCTGTCTTAAATATACAACCTCTTACTCTGAGATTACGTCCTTTGGTCCTAGGCTCCCCATAAGGGGAAACAACCTCTCCACATCTACTCTATCAAGCCACCTAACAATTTGACATATTTCAATAAGATCTTCTCTTATTTTTCTAAACCTACATGAGTACAGGCTAAACCTAGTCAATCTCTCCAATGAGACAGTGCCTCCGTACTTGGCATCAGCCCAGTGAACCCTCTCTGGACTGCCTCCAGTGCCAGCATATCTTTCCTTAGATATAGGGAAGCAAAACTGTTCACAGTATTCCAGCTGTGGTCTAACTGCATAGTTTTAGCCAGACCTTCTCATTTTTATTCACAAAAGGACATTTTTGCATTAAATGATACTGACTGAGGGATAAATATTATTATTTTCCATAAGAGGAAAACCCTCCATTGCTTTTCTTTAGATTGGTGGCATGTGACATTTTCTTTCTACCTACGATGGCAGACAGACTGACAAAATAAAGAAAGAGTTCCTGGGAGAACAAAAGCAAACAAAAACACAGAGGTTTGGTTAACAGGAGCGTGGCATGGCGTATCAATTGCCAATTCAATTCTTTCTTCAATCCACCCTACAAATTCTGTTTGAGCATCTTTACAAACACTTTCCTCCAGTATAAAGCTGTACCTGTGCAATTGCAGCCTCGTTGTCTGCCAGTCCAAGGAGGAAGATCCGTACTTTATCGATTTTCACTGGGATGACCCGGCCCCTCCACTTCACTTCACTCATAGTGGCAGCATGCTTTGCTCTTGTCTGCGTTAGCAGGGACTTTGAAAATGCATACAAATTAATGTCAGAATGAATCAAGGCTCAGAACAATATTCTTAATACCACTTGATCTCAACAACTTTTTTTTGCATGCATGAAACATTGAGTCACAGTGAGAGCTGCTCCAGGATGAGTTAGCTTGGATGTAGTGAGACAAGTGGGCTTGGTGCTGTAAACACCTATGGTTTTAACGATTGGTGACTATGCACCAGAGCAAACCATAGATGTTTACAGCACAAAGCCCATTTGGCTCATTATATTCAAACTAACCCATCAGTAATGACAGGATGCTAGAAACCAGGGATGTAACAGCATTATCTCAGGTAGAGCTCCAGCAGGGAAAGTAACATGATTGTTTCAGAGATAGTAGGAACTGCAGATGCTGGAGAATCTGAGATAACAAGGTGTAGAGCTGGACGAACACAGCAGGCCACCAAGCAGCATCAGAGGAGCAGAAAGGCTGATGTTTCGGGCCTCAACCCTTCTTCAGAAATGGGGG